TTATAACACACTACTCACTTCCTTGGTCAGTCGTCTTGTTTAAACACCTGTATTTTCGTACTTATTTTCTCATCCCGCCAGTATAGTACTCTCACAAAAAATTCCACGTCAGCAACCTCAATATTGTTCATAAAAAAATCAACAAATGACGTGAAAAACATGAAAAGCGGAATACAAGAAGTTAAGATACTACATTAAATGTCGGGAGACCGGCCGAAGACGTAGAGCCTGTCCCTCGGGCAGTGTTCCGATGGTGGGAAATACCGTTGAGGAAAAACACCGGTGGAGGACGGTAGGTCGGCGCCGGATGTCACCATCCTGTGGGAGAATATCACCGCCACCACCCGAAAAAACGTGCATTACACTTACGGGACTAACCGTTGACGCGCCCGGAATCACTTACCAATCAATCATTGTAACCTGAAGATGAAATGTGAAGATGAAGTCGCTCGTGGAAATCAACAACCAACTCACGTGATCATTGCTGAAACCTGATGACAAAACAGGAATGAAGTTCATGGTGGCCTCACCAAAAGACAAACACGCAAATGCCGCAGTAAGTGACTTTCAGGGTTGAAGGGTTTGAAAACGAAAGTAAAGCAGGATTTTCTATGTCGAAAATATCAACAGTGGCCATTTTGAGAATATTTCCATAGTTTTCTTCAAATTCTTGGAGTACAGTACTAAATTCGTTATGTTTAACTCAATAAACATACATCTTCCCAACAAACAGCAAGTTCCCTTGCTTAAAAATGACTAATTTTGTAATTGTTCTTTTTATTAATACTCGTATACGAGTACTTTCAAATTCTGATTCTGACCCAGAAGTAGCGACTTGAAAATTTCGAAATTTGGGAAATGGTTGACTTGGTAATGGCCATTTGACATTCGACCCCCCCCCCGCAGGCGTGTTTGAGTCACGGACTCTAAAAGAAGAATTGTGTCAACTTGTTGCTTGTACGTCCGGGAAAAACATAAGCACAGTGCGATGGGAATATGCATATGCCTGCGCACATAGACGCGCGTTGATGATGATTTTATGTAGTCTCAAGGTCCTTGATTAGGGCGCATTATGTCACGGCGCTCTCTACGCAACCCACCGAATACTAAAGTACGATTATCAACGTGTCTTCATTTTGTATTCTGCCCCTGCGACTGCGAAATTTCTCCCGGGAGAGACAGATACAGAGAGAGACAGATACAGAGAGAGACAGATACAGAGAGAGACAGATACAGAGAGAGGACAGAGAGGGCGGAGAGGGGCGGGGAGGAGAGGCGGGGAGAGGGCCGGGAGAGGGCGGGAGAGGGGCGGGGAAGGGGCGGGGAAAGGGACGGGGAGAGGGGCGGGAGAGGGGCGGGGAGAGGGGCGGGGAAAGGACCGGGAGAGGACGGGGAGGGGACTGGGAGAGAGGGACCGGGAGAGGGACGGGGAGCAGGACCGGGAGAGGGACGGGAGAGGGTCGGGGAGGAGGGCGCGGGGAGAGGGGCGGGGAGAGGGGCAGAACACCCCTCACGAGAATGTCGTGCGTAGAAGGCGTAGAAGCGTAGCGTAGAACGTGTTTAACAATCCACGTGACCAGTTGCATGTGAAGTGTAATACATTGCATTAGCGAAGCATTGCCGAGTCCACTAGTTCTTTATACAAAAAACAAGGAAAAAATAATTTAGCTTTGTTTTACTCCTCACCACTAGATAATATAAGTTCCTTGTTCTGCAAGTTTGAAGCAAGAAGGAAGCCTTCACTTTTATTTTTAAGATGTTCTGTTTGAAGGGGCCACTACGAATCTTACACTACATAATTATTATTGCTGAAAATGTACGTCTAACAATATCATATTGTCGAGATTCCTGTAAACTTAATGTACTGCAATTCTATTTTTTTTACTATTACTTTCTCTTATGAATTTATCTTACGAAAGTGAATTCTATTCATATTGACTTCTTGAAGGTAACATCGCTTTGGCGTCAATGACCAATATCCGACACAAATTATTTGATGACTTTTTTAGTGGAGGAAGACAAATTTCATTTTATTGACCGAGCAAAAGTGTCGTCGTTTTTCAACTAATTTAATCGTCAGTACTTGTAATTTCATCAAAGTAATTTTATAGAAAATTAATGTTAATTCATTGCCAACTTGGAAATAACTAATAATTAATAGAAATAATAAATGTTCAACATTTCGACTGTTAAATATATTTCAAATAAGCCAACCTAATAATTTATCGAAATGTGCTAATTAAATTTTAGAAAAATCTTATAACTGAATTTGATACTAGTTTCTCAGAATTCATAAAACATTATACATCTCTTACATATTTTCATACATATTTAATGTTGACGTAAAGTATTCCTGAAAATCTCCAAATGGAGTTCATTAAGTTGCCGTGCATCAATAAAATGAAACTTCTTTTCGCAGCGACGTCATCAATTATTAATATAATACTTTTATCACGTACAAAACTTTTCTCATCTTTGGCACAACGATTCCAAATGCTCTTGAATCCACATTGCGAATTATTTTTCTCGAAGAATATATTTATAAACAATGCATTTCGTGTTTCATTTAATGATTACAATGTAGAAAACCACCTAAGATGAGCAATCAGATAAATTGAGATTTAAAAAAATAAGTGAACGCAAGGAGGTACAAATTTCTCATTAATTAAGACTCTAGAATGAATTAAATTAAATGATAGCGCAACACAGTTTTATTTATTTTGTTATTTTTTTAAGCATGTTAGCTGACCTGGATGGCCGAGGTGGCTAAGAGCGTGTACCGACTCAGCGATTCGGTCCGAAGGGTCGTGGGTTCGAGTCCCACCTTGCGTATGATTGTTTGTTCCTTCTCTCTCATGTATGTGTTTTCGCGGAGGGTCTCTGGTTCTGCCGACCCCAGATCAGACGAGCCCGTCAGTGCATTGGAGTCTAGTGTATGGTCGAAAATTTGACCCATCAGGTCGTAAAGGACAACCGGTTGTCGGTCGGATAAAATCCTAAAAAAAATCATGTTACCCTGAAGTGCTGACCCGCTGTAACGTAATGCGTCATCGAAATGGACCGTGAAACCGTTTCGATCGGCCACGCCAGCACATCTGCGTATCTGGGTGAGCGCCGGCTGTCTGCAACGTGCATTAGCGCCTGGGGCTGTTGTTAGGCAGACACGCGGAGAAAAGTTGGGCGAGCGTGAAAGTAGACTTCACGTGTGGAAAACTACTCATTTCTCAACAGAATATGTAAACATGAATCAGATTGGAACTTTAACTCGGAAGAGAACTGGTTCTCTCCCAAATTGTAAAAGAAATATGGATGGTATTAAGGACAATCACAGACTAAAAGCTTTCAAATATTACAATTTTACGTCTTAGAGTTACGTTAAATCGTCTTTGCCTAAATTTAGACTGTGTATCCAATGTTGATTTTTGATTTTTTTAAAATTCGTCTTACAGCAAGGGAGAAATTTCTATATCGAAATATCCAAAATCTTGTTTTTAGATTCATTCAAACAGAATTGTGTTTTGCAATACTTTATTACTTTTCCATCACTTTAATTCATTAAAGCATTTTCCCAATTCAGAAGCAGAAATCGACACAAAGAAAACTGGTTCTCTTACATAATCCCAACTCACAGCTCAGAAGCCTCTCATAAACAAATAAAAGTAGTCTTAACGAACTTCCTAGATGATAGGGGAGCAGAAATACTACGTAACAGTGAATGTAGGAAACTTTAAATCAGTTTATTTAGTAATAGAAAGGGTTTCAACGGTAGTTGTATCACAGTTGAAGACTGTTTAATTCGAAACACATTCACTTGACCTTTAAACACAAAGGAAAACAGCAATGGTGGAAACCTTTACACTTCAGACTAGGCGTTGCAGTTATTTCAAACTAGAGCCACAAAACTAGTATGTCTGGTAATTGTAATTTCTCGACTTAAATGTTCTGGATTAATTTTAATATTATAATAGTAGTCTTTTGAAGGTTTAATGGTTGCAATATCACACGTGCTTAAAGAGTGAGTTACGAATGGAATTTATTTATTTTTTTATTTTATTTATTTACGTCAAAACAGTTAAAACAATGTGTGACGTGCTGTGGGGAGAAGTTATATTGAAGTTTCATTTATGTTCTTTCGTTAACATATACGTTACTGGTTTACAAATTATTTTTGAAATTTTCATTCGATAAACGAAAATATACTTATTAATTTCCCATTATTTAAAGAAAAATAAATTATATGTAAAAGCTATCATTTTGCTCACTTACTCTGAATATGTCCGTTTTATTATTTGTTGTCTTTATAAACATTCAAAAAAATTCAAAATCAACAATCTAAAAACTTCAAGTGAAAATACGAACTATTTTTAATACGACTCAAAGAACAGGATAGACTGATATACAAGAGAAAATGTATAACAAAATGTGATCGTCCCATATCCCTTTTGTGTGTAACGTGAAATAATTTACTTATTACCGCGAAAACATGAAAACCACAATGCGAACCCGCGCAATGATGCACGATTAAATATGAGATGAAATGCTCCGCCAACAAATTACACAAAAATAATTATTCTGTAAATATATTAACGTTAATATATATACTCCTGGAGTTCAAGCCCAAATGTTTCATCGATATTAGTTCAGTACATTCAGAGATTATCGCGCTGTAACTCAATGCATTTCTATCTTTTTATATTAGTATACATTAAAGATAGATTATCTTATTGAATATGAATTTTGTTACTATTATCGTTGTTATTATTATTGTTATATTTATCATTATTATTTTTGTTGTTATTATTGTTATATTTATCATTATTGTTATTGTTGTTATTATTATTGTTATATTTATCATTATTATTGTTATTGTTGTTATTATTGTTATATTTATTATTGTTATTGTTGTTATTATTGATACTATTATTATTATTATTATTATTATTATTATTATTATTATTATTATTATTATTAAGCAAACGTGTACTCGTATGTGTGTGCAGGTGAGGGCCCGAGATGGTGTTTCCGACGCGCCGTTCCAGCATCGCCCCGCGCGTGGCCCTGGGCCGCTCGCGTCAAGCGCTACGAGGTGAGGTGTCGTTCACTTTCATTTTGTGACTTTTGATAAATTACTTTACTATTTGTGGCGTCCAGTTGTAAATAAGAGTATCTGACATTACACGATTCTGAAGATGATACTCTGTGTAAGGTAAAAGCCTCAGTATTGGTCACTACCTCAGTGATCATTTCTAGGATATTTGAAAACTACAAAAATGGAGGCTTCCCTCCTACCTCGAACTTACAACTTTACTCGAACATAATGATCAATTGTCAATCACCAGTGTTTTCAGCACTAAGAGTAACAAATCATACTGATGTTCGTTCTGCGCAACTAGCACTAGTGCTTCTTCTACGCAGTACCAGATACGTCATGAACCACGTGACCCCAACACGGGTAGTATGTTCTAAAAGCCAGGCCAGATGCTGGCCGCCATGTTTCATGGCAAGCGAGACGATGCTTGCCATGATGCCACAAAATTGGCATCAAGTGACAATTTTCAACGGTGACCAACCAAAAATAACACGAGGAAAGTGTAGTTGAAGTAAAAGATGCAGTATTAAAAAAGTGCTTCATATATCCGTTTTAATGATTTTGATATTTGACTGCATTTAAAATTCCCGCTAATATGACGCAAACTGGTGAACGAAGCTCATTGGCTGAAGACAAAGAGGCTGCACAATAACTTACTTCTCCACGCTAAAAATTGAACTTTAAGTGGCCTCCGCATGTCCTGAAAGAGCTGCTTTTAGTAACAGCTGTCTAAAAAATGTTTTAGTCTTCAAAAAAGTTAAAATCATATCTTCGTCTTAGATTATGACTAACATTCATTACGAATACTATTTTCCCTATATTCTCAAGAATAGAAAATTCAATATCTTAGTCTGCATAGGTATTGCGTAGAGAATAGCAGAAAATCTAAAATGTGTTGCGTGAAGCAGATTAGTTTATTCCTGTCCGTACTGAGGTTCAAATGTCTCACCAATTGTCTAGACCAGGGGCCGTAAACAATTTCATGAGCGAGTGCTACTTGCAAAATATTAAGTCGATATTAATCTAACTTTTTAAGGTGCAGAATTTCGTATTTGATAACTCCAATTCGTATAGCCACATTGATCCAAACAATTTATGTACTCAAAGAAAAACATCACGGAGACAGAAGTGTATTTCACCACTTGCGTATTTCCAAAACTCTGAAATGACTTACAGTCCATTATCATTTTTCTGAATTAATATATCCATTTCTAAAGCAAGGGCTTTTACACAAAACAATCATCCCATCTTACTGGTTTTAGTTTCCACATCACCAGAAATCGGATTAAAAAAACTGACAAACTGGTTCTTAAAGTCATTGAACCTTCTCCGAAATTTTGTAGCCAGCTATTGAATTTTATCTGTATGATTCATGGCATCGTAGGAATGTTAACTTTCACGCTGTCACCAATGGAAAATTTTTTCTCCAGAAGGCAAGTGTATTGGAAAATGTCTGATCTGTAGATATGGTATTCAAAAGCTTTTTTTATATTTTCCCTAAATTTCTGGCTTTAAGTCGTTTAATTTTCCCATCATATCGAATAAAACTACGAAATCTTCCAGCCAATTGTGGTTTTATAATTCATCGTGCCCGGTGCCCCTTTCTTTAAAAAAATAATTAACCTCTAGTAGAAATTCCTTTAAACGTAAAAGAACTTTTCCTTTATTCAAACCAATGGAATGTGAATATAGAAGTAATTCGACATTCAGCTCATCCGTACGTTTCTTAAAGAGCTCTGACAGAGCCTTCATTGCTTGACAGCCTGTGATAGAGCTCACAATCTTAACAACCAGTTTCATAACCTTGGTCATGCAATAAATATCACATAAATGGCATTCTGATGGATAATGCAGTGACACTCTAGGAAGGACGGGAATAATTCATCTTTGTGGCAAAGAGAAAGGAAGCCAGTGGTTATGAATAGCAATTAATGCAGATGCGCTGTCTGTCGTCAGGCTTGCTAATTTTGTTGATTGGCAAATTTTCTTTAATAATAAAAATTCAGTAATAAGAACATTTCTGCAGGTCGAAATTCACCTGTGTATTATGATTAATGGCTATAGTTTGAATTGGACAACCAACTACTCATAATTATTTCGAATTTATGGCCCCTACCATTTCTGTTTTGTTCGTGAAGTCTGCAAATGGACTGTCAGCGGCTTCATTGAAGACTTCCTTTATTAGTTCATAGTAAGTGAAGGATGTTTTTTACAGAAGCTTATTTCCAGCCAACAGTCAGTTAACCTTCACGTCCCGATAGGACCCATATTCGACCCACACTGGCATTTTTCCAACACGCTTAGGGCCCCTCTGATCTGGGTCAGCAGAACGCGAGGCCTTCAGCGACAACACATATATGAGAGACAAGGGACCAACAACTATGTCCAAGGCGGGAATCGAACCTGCGACTCTTGGGACCAAAGGGCTGAGTGAGTACACGCTCTTAGCTACCTCGACCACCCAGGACAGCGATTTGTTTTTCTATTTTTTCCTTAATAAAGGACACTTCTCTACAAGTATATCAGACAAGTATTTTCATTAACCTAAACCCCCTCAGTTATTTAGCAGTTTCACTGTATTATTTATCGGAACCGACATGGATGACCGAAGAGGCTAGAGCGTGTACCGACTCAGCACTTTGGTCTAAAGTGTCACGGGTTCGAGTCCCGCCGATATTCTTTGTTCCTTGTCTTCCATGTATGTGTGTTGACTCGGAAGTTCTTGTGAGTCTACTGACCACAGGCTGAGGAGCCCGTAAGTGTGTGTGTCTAGTGTAAAGATTAGTACATGCCCCGTGAAGGATAAAACGGGTACCCGGCGCGGATAGCCAAAATCAACAATTTCTGAAGCTGAAAACAGCCCAGAAAGAAAAAAAAACAACTGCATTATATATCGCAAAGATCTTCTCGATGGTCTGAATGACGCCCCCAGGTTTAGACCCATCGATGTAGTGCGCAACGTCTGTGTTGAAGGAAGTACCTTTTTCGTTGAAGTATTTTATTTATTTAATAGGTAATTATTACAAACAAATTAGATTACTTGATCCTATGTGGCTAGGCCGAAGGCCTTTAAGCCATTACAATACCTACATCCTTTCGCGTTCTAATCTTTCGAATTCTGGTATTCCCCCCAAATGGTCTCTCCATCGCATCGAAGCCGCGGAAAAGAGACCACAAGGTACGGCTCAGGAAAAAATCCCTGAAGGGGGAAAAACCTGCTGAAGTATATATGCCGTTGCAAAAAAAAAAAAATCGATCTAAAAATTGTGTCGTTACGAAGTCGCTAGTCACGTGATGAGGAAGCGCCCTGCACGTGTCGTGTGCGCTCGGTGCGCAATGCGTGCCCGGCTCCGCGCCGCGGTGCGCTCGTCGTGTGTTCGTGCGCATTCCTTGGCGCTCATCCTTACGCCACGCATCCGGGCGGCCTTGAGCTGGGGTGGCGCCTTCCTCGGAGCGCGGAGGCAGCGCCCACGTTTCACCCGCCCAGCCCTGCTCGCCACAGTGGCCCGGAAACGAGAACGCATTCGGTTACTTGGCTCTTTCGATGCAGTTTGGGCGTGCGCGCACACGATGTGATGGCCGCAGCGACGGTGCTGGATTTCCCACACTAGCTTTATAGATGGGTCCAATTTCGTCATTGCCTGGAGGTGAATTCTAGCGGCTGGACGCTGTGGTGGGTAGTTGTGATTATTTTATACGATCAATACTAGGAGAATGCCGCAGAACTATTCTAACAAACAGCCAAAGGGCCGCGCGTGATCTTTCCTTCAACACAATTGTTCCCTTCTAGCCACTTACGCACGAAAACTACATTGCGACACATGTCGGGAGACCAGTTGGTGTCTGAAAGCTTGTCCAGCCTGGGGTGGCTCCGTAATGGGAAATACCTGGAGGAGTATGTCAGTGCTATGTCTCCATTTAGCGGGGGAAGATCACCGCCACCTCCAGCGGTGTAATACATCCTTATGGGAATAATGACCGTAGTAGTTGACGGACCCGGGAACACTGAATAACCAATCAAGCAGTGACCTAAGACAGATCCTTTTTGTATCAACTATATTTAATTATCATTTATGCTAAAAAACTGAAGGAAACAAAGGAAATGCAATAAAGGCAATATCCTTCGTTTTTTTCTTCATAATATTCACTTTTACTCCTAGCCATTTTCTTCTGACTTCATCCTGAATAGTGTATCCCCTGAGCGAATTTTGACTGAGTATTTTTGTTTTGTCATTTAATCGCGACCTCATGAACTAGATGTCTTTAAGCCTTCGTAACCTTTGCCGAGTCTTCCAGATGTTCCATGGGGTCGTTAATAAATTAAGTAACGCTAACTGGGAGGGGGAGCACTGCGTCGCGTTTCATGGGAGTGAGGGGTGTTAGTCTGGAGTTTCCTAACGCTGATATTTACTTTTTTAATTTTTCAACATGTTTTGAAAATTGATTTATTTAGACTTATACAAAAAAAATTAAAATATTAACTAATTAAATTTTAAAAATATATGAATAAATTTAAAAGATATTGTGTGTAAATGTTACAATATGTAGAAATATTTTTATTTTTTATTAATAGCATGCACTTTGAATCGATAATGAAGAAAATATTCAAACCTGTTCTGTTCTTCTAAAATTCTAAAATTCAATTAAATTGGCGCAGTACACTCTCGTGCATGTAGACTCTCGCCCATGACGGCATATAAACGGCTTCTTTTCAGAAATTTTCATGACTTCGAGTGCTTCCTTCCCTCAAAAATTATTCCTAATCTTATTGTTAAATGCAGTCAGCATCGCCACCTGTTTCTGACTTTAATTATCATGAATGTTATTAAACAGCTGAAATGAAATGAATACTAAGTGGTATTATTGTGCTGTTGTTTAGTTTTACTGCAATATAATTTATTTTTACTTCTGGTAAATGAGGGAGTTGTCGTAAGGGTTGCGTAATTATTTATCGGAGATTGTAACGCGTATGGCGGATGCTTTATAGGGGGAGAAAT